ACTGTATTCTTGTAGCTTGTGTTCCCGTGAGTTTCCGGGTTTTGGAGTGATATTGTAGACTTCCGCATTACTGAGTTGTATATGCCGAGCGGCATCTATATACAGTTTTCTTCTAGTTGTTCAGTTTTAATTATTTATTTCCGCAAGTTATGTTGTTTTACGCATTGTTAGGCTTACCTAGTCGTAGGGACTAGGTGCCGTCATGACATGTTCACGGAGGGCGAACTGGGGTCGTGACATTATCAAATTACTCAAATAAATAAATATGATTATCACACAATTTCTCTATCAAACAAAAAGAATATATCAAAAAATATCTTTGAAATAAGGGTAGGTCGGGTCCCAACGGGTCGGGTCAGCAGATTTTAGTTTGGTCCGATTATTAATTATTTAAGAAAGACAAAATAATAGTTCCGTTAAACTAAGGGCATAAATAAACAAGTATTAAACAGATTGAACATATTTGTGCCAAACTATTAGCAACGGACATATTTGTCCTAATTCGCACAGGTCATTGGCATATGTGATCCTTTACCGTTTGCAGAATGTGAGTAGACCGTCTACTCATGGGGCTGGGGGGAGAGTTCAAGATAAAGGAGTAGGTATTATTATATGAGTTGCAGAGTAGTAGGGGGGCAAGAGTCAAACAGGTAAAAAAGTGAAGGGAAGATCCAAAGAGGAAAAAGCAATGCACAAAAAGCTGAAAATCATGATGCCTGTTGAAAGCAAAATGTCAAACGCTACGTTACTTTTCGGGGACTGACACCGCCTCGGCCTTAGCCACTGCACAGCCTCTTCGACATGTCCTCTCCCCTACCTGCCCTCTTTGAATGTCTCTATTTCTATTCACACACTTCATTTCACATTTTGTCTTTTCAATTGTTTTCATCTTTTTCCTCTAATAACGCACATTTTCTTTTAGAGATTTTATGTACTCCTATTATTTTACATTTACATTTATATTTACTTTTTTGTTTTTCATTTTGCCTTTTGAATTTCGAGTCTCTAGCTATAATTGAATAAAAGTACTCACTCTGTTTCAATTTAGATAACACACTTTTCTTATTAGTCTGTTCTTATAAAAAATGATACATTTTTATAATTGAAAATAATTCAATTTTAATCTCTTCATTTTTCCAATTTTATCTTTAGTGAGAAGCTTTTATAGCGACACAAATGTCATGGACCCACAAAGATTTTACCTCTTAAACTTTTAAGACCATAAATTTCAAAAATATTCTTTTTTTTTCTTAATTTTTATGTCGAGTCAAACTACCTTATCTAAACTGAAACGTAAAGAGAATTTGACAATGTATTTTAGCGGTCAATAATCTAGTTATTAAAATTTAAAACTTTAGGTTCTAGCTGTTCTTGGTTCATAAATACATTCCAAAACTACTAATTCTTCTCGAATCGAACTCAAAACAAAATCCAAAAAGTCCGGCCAACTAACTATTTATATGGCAATTATAAATCTTATTTCATTTTTCATGTGTGATATTTTGTACAGCATATACGTTTTACCCTCCCGACCCCACTTGTAGAAGGTTATCGTTGTTATTATCACCCCTGGTTTTATCGTGCTATCGACAATTCCATGGAAAGAGATGTTAGAGTATCCCATCCCCAAGGACCTTTTTGGCTATCCTATCTCGAGCTGTGAGCTATCATTGGTAATGACTGTGTTTAATTAATTACTGTCAAAAATCCTTGGGAATCCGTTCCTTAATGACCTATAATTTAGCTAATTTACATAGCTAAACTAGTTCTTCTTAAATGAGCCATATACCACGCAAATCTAAATTAAACGAGCATGAATACAAGATATACCATATTGTTATACAAACAAAAAGAAGATGGTAAAATAGTACTAGAGTATGCCATAGCTAATTTTCCTTTTTTTTTTTCGAAATTTTTTTGCTTTTTTCGAAATCAGCGTTTGTTCATAAAATTTTCAAAGTTCACTCAAAGATGCATTTTGAAATTTTTCGAAATTTTGAAAAACTCCAAAAAGCTGTTATTCAAAATTTTCACTCAGATTACTCACAAAACTTCAAAAAATATCTCAAAATTATATTTATGTCCAAATACAACTCTTATTTATTAATACCATTTTCATTTATTTTTTTGCAATTTTACAATTCTTATGTCCAAACGCCTACTTAAATTGGAGAGTGATGGTGAAAATTCTAATGTTAAAGTGGTGAGCTACAATTGCATGTGAACCTTGTAATAGGATAATACTTCATATGTTTTCAGTTTATGTGAGTTTATATATATTTGTTCGTTTAAAAAAGAATTATCTATTTTTAAATTTAGTTAGAATTTAACTTTAGCTTCCAATTCGACCTTCAATGAAAAGTCTTTATAGCTACACAAATACGCTTGCATGTTAAACCCCACAACATTCAATTAAATTTTAACCATGCAAATGTTATAACTTATTTAGTTACAAGTTTTAAAAATCTATTTTTTTCTTAAGTTTGATGCCCAAAAAAGTTTACAAAAAATGGGAGAGGGGGAGTGTTACGTTTGACCCAAAATTTTGATCTAGGTTTAAACAAACAAATTTTTTAAATAAAATAGAGCTAATCTTAGCCAATATTAATATCCATAAGATTGATTAACCGATGTTGTATCAAGATGTCACGTATACTATTTGAGTAACAATAAATAGCAACAATAATGCAATATTCATTTATCCAAGAACAAAGGTAGCATTAAATGTCAATAAATAATGATAAATGTTATTCATGTAAATAAATGCGTGTGAGTTACCCGAAAAGGGCGATATTCTTTGATATTCCTTCTAACAAAGATAGGTGGTGATAAACCTTCGAATATTCGAATCCAACTCGGATTGTGAAAGAAAAGATAGATAAAGATCTCAAGAAAAAATATATTTTGTATGTCAATGATAAAGTGAGAATCTTCGGAGAATGTAAATATATTATTTTTTACAATGAGTGTCCAATCCCCTCTATAACAACTCCCTTCGTTCACCTTTACATGTTCACTATTGACTTTGCACACCTCTTAAGAAATACGTAATAAATAAAGTGCGTAATTTACCATAATACTCATATTAATTGGTGTATAGTCCTAATGAATTTGGGAAATGATTTTGAAAGTAATTACCGCTAAGGGTAGAATAGGAATTTTTTTTTCTTGATATGCGAAAGTGCACAAGTAAAATTGAATATATATTTTTAGAATAGTAAACAAGTAAAAGTAAACGGATGGAGTAGAAATCTTTCTATTTATAGTGCACATGGACCACAAAACTCAAATAGTACAAATGAGAGAAATAAATTCCCTATAAGGTCTTGTTTCTAAACTAGCCGTTATTGTTCCGTTAAAGGAAGTACTCGTCCTCGTCTACGTCCTTCGTTGGGTCCTCGACTTCGCCTCCATCTTCTGTTGAAACCAATTTGATGGCACGTGACAGCGTTTGAAGACTTTCTTAACGCCAATTAGGCTCACATATTATTATGATAATTTTTAGCCAATACATGAAGTAGTACTAAAAACGATGGTGTAGAAACTCATATTACTCTTTGTAATAAAATAGTAGGAGTGGTAGAAATGTGAAACTCTAAAGTATTTTACTGCTACGTGTTGTAAATGTTGATAACTTGAAAACTTTTTCGGAGTAATTAGTAGCTAAAGTCAAACGCACGAAGACGACTCACTCCTCGAGACGAGAAAGAAAGCAAGGAAGGAAAACAAAAGTTTCCATCATTTCAGCCAACAGCTACCCCTATACGTTGCCAGAAAAAGGTCCCTATTTCTACTGTCGCTGCTCAGAAACTTGAAAACCCCTCTGGACCCGCCCCCCCTTTGTATCACCTTTCGACTCATTGCTCTTCGTTCGATAATTATAAAGTAATCCCTCCCGTCCAAAATAAGTGATTTTTGGACCTTTTTTTTGTGGTCCAAAATAAGTGATTTTTCCGGATTTCAAGAATGAATTAATTGTTTTTTTCCTACATTATCCTTAAAGTAAATAGTGTTAGAATATGTGTTAGGAGTGTTTATGTGAGATAGTAAAGGTTAATATGATCAATTCCATTGCTAATTAATGCTAAAAGGTAAATTTCTTAATCTGTATGAAAACATCCAAAATATCACTTATTTTGGATCGAAGGGAGTAATACTACTAGTATTAAATTATGATTCTAGAACGAGAGTATGCAACAGTAAAATTATATCTAAGTGTTCTATAGGTTGCGAATTTGAATTGTGAAAGCAAATACTAATGTATGAATTATGGTAGTCTCAGAGGCGGAGCTAGAATTTGAATCTAATGAGTTTAGAATTTTAGACTTTTTAATTTACTGGGTTCTAAATTAATAATTTATATATTTTTAATAATTTTTTTTAGATGGATACAAGGTACAAATCAAAGTTACTGAGTTCGCTTAGGCTAGCTCCGCCCCTGGGTAGTCTATCGACATAACACCTAACGGCTCGTTTGGTACGAGAGATAAGGATAATTAATTCCGAAATTAAATTTTAGATGAATTTATTTCACGTTTGGTTGAGATAAAATCAAGGTGTAACTAATATCGGGATTAGTTATTCCGCGAGTGTAGTGTTATTTTTATCCACATGAGAGGGTGAAATAACAATCTCGGATAACTAATCCCGGGATAATTAATCTTGGAATAACTTATTTTTCTCAACCAAACGACCCCTGGGAAATAAGTTTTCCCATGATTAATTATCCTAAGATTAGTTATTCCCGGATTTTTTATGCCACCCTCCCATTGGGATAAAAAATACTATAATCTCGGGATAACTAATCTCATCCAAATACGGGATAACCTTATTTCAAATTTAGTCTCGGGATAAATTATCCGTTATTTATCGTACCAAACGAGCCCTAAGAGTGCAATTCTTCTCTGCATGAATACAATATGCTATGTGAGTCGGACTGTTTTTTTTTATTAAATTATGGCTCTCAAAATCAACATTCCAATCTCAGTTCCATAATACACAAAAAAATTCTAGCTAGACCTAGAGCCGCAATAATAATTGACGAGTTTAGAAAAAAGGTGGATAGGGGGAAAAAGAGAAAAAGATAGCTCATGTAGTAGTACAAATATATTTGAGATTAAATCTTCAACAACTTCAGCACTTTATGTCGTCAATAAATTCCATCCTCTTCAGCCTCTTTCTCATTGGCAATACTGAAATTGCATATAATTCCAAAAGGCAAGCAGTCAAGTGTTTATAAACAAGTATAGTAGCAATAAACAAGTGTTTATAGCAATAATATAGTAAGCTAAGCCCTAGGAGGTCGTGTTGTGTTGGGTTTTAAAGGAGAAATTAAAATGGTGGAAAATAGTGAAGGTGGATACAAGACTAACCACAGAATCCCAATGCTTCTCTCTGTCTAAATCCTTTCACCGTTTTATGCTTGGATCATCTCTTTAGCAACGTTTCTAGTAGTTTGCCTTTATTAAGCCAACCCTAGATCTTAGTATGATGACGAAGAAAAATCAACAGCGATTGAGAAATATCTATCTCCCTCCTATTATTTCAGTACATAATCATAATGGCAAAGGCATTTCCTCTGGATGGTAACAACTGCGCCAATACAAGTGCAAACGTCGGCGGCAGCAGCACCTCCCAAAGCAAGGACATCAACAACCTACAGCCTTCGCCTTCTTGTGAACTTGGCAACAACAGCAAAATGGTGAGAAAGAGGGCGGCGTCCGACATGGAAATTCAGACCGGAGCCGGCGAGGAAAATAGGTATCTTCGTCGGCCTGTCACTATAGGCGGGTCACATTCCCAGCTAGGTGATTTAAGTGCTTGTGGAACGAGTAATCTTCGTCACGTCTCTAACTACTCCACTATGCAAATGTTACCTTCTTCCACAAACGTGTGCGGCGTGACGTCAAAAGGGGCTGATTTCACTGGTTTTTCTAATTCTATCCCAAACCTAATTAACTACACCGACGCCATAACTTCATCTCATCATATTCAGCAACAAAACCTCAACAACAACAACAATCAATCCCCATCTGTTTGTGTTTTCTCCGGTTTGCCTCTCTTCCCTCCCGATAGAAACCGCCAAAACGGCAGCGTACTACTCCAGCAGCAGCCTACATCAGCTGCAGCAGTTCTAGCTTCCCCCTTAACAACTACAGCTGCTTCAATGGAGGAAAGCGCCACGTCAGCAACGGCATGGATTGACGGAATTATAAAGGATTTAATCAACAGCTCAGCTCAAGTGTCCGTACCTCAGCTGATTCAGAATGTAAGGGAAATTATCCACCCTTGTAATCCATATCTCGCGTCCCTATTGGAATACAGGCTTCGCTCTCTCACTAGTAATAGTACCAACAACAATAATAGCGGTGCTAGTGCTGACGTTCATAACGATGCGGCCGCCATGGAATTCTGGAGAAGAAAGGAAGGAGTGTTGCCGCAGCTTGCGAGTTTACAACATGGCCAAAATATGAATCCCAATTCATTGCAGCAACACAATATTTTATCCCTTCCAGATTCATCAAATAACCACTACTTAAACTGGGATATGGCTGCTCCGGTTGCACCTTCTCTGAACCAGCACCAGCAGATTAGCAGCAACAATAATCCTGCTGTAACTGCAGATCTTTCTTTTGTTACGTCTCCTCCAATTCTTCCTCCTCAATTACAGCAACAAGACTCTTCACATTCTCAGCAACAGGCGGCAGTAGACTTAGAACAACAAAAGCAGCAGCAATCATCTAGCACTTCTCTATCTCCAACATCTGCAACCCACAGTGCCAAAACAAAAACTACAACACCTGTAGTTCCTATCAGTACATACCGAGAGAAAAAGGAAGAAGAGCGACAACAGAAGAGGGATGAAGACGGACTCCATCTCTTGACCTTACTCTTGCAATGTGCCGAAGCAGTATCAGCTGATAATTTAGAGGAAGCAAATAAAATGCTATTGGAAGTTTCCGAACTCTCAACACCATTTGGTACATCTGCACAGCGCGTCGCTGCATATTTCTCTGAGGCAATATCAGCTAGGCTATTGAATTCATGCTTAGGAATATACGCAGCCCTACCCATAACCAACGTCCCCGTGCTCTACACCCAGAAAATGGCGTCCGCTTTCCAGGTGTTTAACGGGATCAGCCCGTTCATTAAATTCTCTCATTTCACAGCCAATCAAGCTATTCAAGAAGCTTTTGAAAGAGAAGACCGGGTTCATATAATAGACCTTGATATAATGCAAGGTCTTCAATGGCCCGGTCTCTTTCATATATTGGCTTCCAGGCCCGGCGGGCCTCCATTTGTTCGTCTCACCGGGCTTGGAACTTCAATGGATGCTCTTGAAGCCACAGGCAAACGATTGTCCGATTTTGCTGAAAGATTAGGACTGCCGTTCGAGTTTTTGCCTGTAGCTGATAAAGTTGGGAACTTAGACCCTGAGAAATTGAATGTGAGTAAAAGAGAAGCTGTTGCTGTTCATTGGTTACAACATTCTCTTTACGATGTTACTGGCAGCGATTCTAATACTCTCTCCCTCTTGCAAAGGTACTATTACTTCCCTCCGCACTTTATTTGAATCTTGATTCAAGAAAAATGACATAGAAAAAGGTTGGAGAGATTCACACTTTATGAAATTCTTTCTATACCTTCTATATTAGGAAAAGTTTTATTTTATACTTTTTGTTACCTTTAACAGCATAATATTGTAGTTATTAAAATGCTTTGACATGTTTAATATCACTAATTGCTTTTGAGGTTGTCTTTTTATTCTGCCTGAATAATTTAAAGGTTTATCTAATTCTTCTTTTCTCAATTTTATTCAATTTCTGTTGAATTAGTTTTTGAATTATATCCATCTTAAAAAAAAAGGATATCCCATAAGCATTTATGCAAGTATAGGAATTGCATCATAGGCAATGTGAGGTAGGCAATCTATCCTAATGCAAATATCAACTTAGTTGAACGCAACAAAAAAGAATCTTCATTTGGATATTGGTGACTTGGCCTCCTTAGTAAATTAAATAAGACTTTTTAGCTAGCGTTTGGACGATAGATTTGATTGAACCTTGAAAAATAAGTTTTTGAATTTGTGTTGAAAAATAATATTTGAAAGTTGAAGTTGTGTTTGTACATTTTATTTGGATAAAACTTGTAATTTGTGAATGGAAAAAAAATTCATCCGAAAGAAAAAATCAATTTTTAGGAACTTGAAATTTTTAAATTTTTTCCCCCAAAACATGATAATTTAATAAACAAAAAATGTTTTAAAAAAATGAAGGCAAAATCTATAGCCAAAAGGAGCTTAAAAACATCTAATACCAATATTGTAAAAATATTTGATAATTAAAAGAAGAATTATTCATTGCATCAATTACTAGTTCCGGAGTAATATTTATATTTCCTATGTATGTATCGTAAAGATCTTTCTCTTTCACCACTGGTGATTCCATTTCTCAATAAAGCTGAAAACCGAAGAAGAAACAGGCCAATTACTTTAGCAGCAAAAGCTTTCTACATGAATGCACCTATTTGACTTGGTGTATTACTCCATCCTTGGTGTCTTATTAATTTTCCGTGAATTCTCTTCTTTTATTACTTGCTTTCTTAGACCAAAAAAGAAAAGGTTTAAACATGTAAATATTCTGGGGCAGTAACCCCCTCCCTCCATAGAATAGAAACGATAGAGAGAAAAAGTTATTTACCAGTACTGGGCATAAACTAATTTTACTATATGTAAATATATGGAGAAACCTGAAACAACCTATCGGTAGGGTAATGTCTGCGTATATTCACCCTATTCAAACCTTACTTGGGGATCCTATATTATTGTTGTTGCTGTAAATATATGGAGTAAGTGGATTTTTCCTTGAGCAGAGGGTCGTCTATTAGAAATAATTTGTCTACCTCCATAATGGTAGGGTAAGGTCTACGCTCACACTACATTTTCCAGATCCCACTATGTAGAATTTTACTGTATTTTTGCTTCTATTTTCTAATTGGTGTGCTTACTGCTACTCTTCCTTTTATCTTTCCTAAGTCGAGGATCTTCCGAAAATAGACTCTCTGCCTTCTTGAAGGTAGGGATAAAGTCTGCGTACATACCACCGTTCCCAGATCCTACTCGTGGGATTACATTGGGTCCGTTGTTGTTGTACTGTGTAGGATTTTACTAAATATGTTGTCGTTGTTTATTTGTAGTACGTGGATTTGGTTTAATGTGCATGCTTTAAATTCAGGTTGGCGCCGAAGGTGGTGACAGTAGTGGAGCAGGACCTGAGCCACGCGGGTTCATTCTTAGGGAGATTTGTGGAGGCAATACATTACTACTCAGCTCTATTCGACTCTCTGGGCGCCTGCTACGGAGAAGAGAGTGAAGAGAGGCACGTGGTAGAGCAACAGCTCTTGTCAAAGGAGATTCGGAATGTGTTAGCCGTAGGTGGTCCGTCGAGAAGTGGTGAAGTGAAGTTCAACAACTGGAGAGAAAAGTTGCAACAATCTGGCTTTAGGTCTATATCTCTTGCCGGTAATGCTGCAGCGCAAGCTACTCTTTTGTTAGGAATGTTTCCTTCCCATGGATACACTTTGGTTGAGGATAATGGCACTCTCAAACTTGGTTGGAAAGATCTATGCTTGTTTACTGCTTCTGCATGGAGGCCTAATTCTTTCCATACTAGCCCCGCGTCGCGTCATTTTTCTCGCCCTAATATGGATTAGAAAGATTGGGGGTCAGTGAGTTCAGATACTCCATGGTTAAATAAAAAAAAATTCTGGCCAGTTGCCGCGCGCGGTGACCTCGCTCTTTCTTCCCTTCATTTGCAGTGTAGTTTACAACTCATCCTTTCATGTCATATTGTATGTTGTATATGCAAAGGTGGTTTGTTAACTCTTATTTTTTGTGGTAGTCATTAATTATGTTGCTTCCTTTTCTTCCATATGTTGCTCGGTTTATATCTTTTTAGCTGAATTTTAGCTGGCTTTTGGACATAAATTTTATTGAAATTTCAAAAAAAAGAGTTTTTGAAGTTGTGTTTGGGTACAAGTTTTATCTTAAAAAAAGTTGAAGTTTTGTGAATGGAAGAAAAATTTCAGTTTTTGGGAACTTAATTTGATTTATTTATGTGTGTTCAAAAACTAATCATATTCCATGAATAAATAGTAATTTGAAAATTTTTCTTTTGAAAAAGAAAAACAGCCAAGATCTATGGCCAAACGACGGGAGCTAATTAATATCTTCAAGAGGGAAAATTTGTGCTTTTGATCACTTAATTATTGAAAAGTTCTAACTCTGATGTCGTAATACAATAATGAATTCATATTGCTTATCTCTAATTAGTTTGAAATTGATATAGTCGATTGCTTGTTTATCTAATTGATAATGTACATTTAACCGGTTATTAGTAAATTCTTTCAATCGTTCCACTAATAATTTTCTACAAATTCAATGAATTTTTAAGTGTTAAAGCATTTGAATGTTCATTGTTTGTGCTAAGAGAAAGTTAACCTATACTTGTATTTCTTGAGGTAAAAGTCTGTCAAGTTTGTAGAAACTTGTCAGCCGAGAGATGGTGATCACGTCCAACTATGCCTTATAAAAGGACACTCAGACGTTGCAAATATAACCTGATTATTTATGCCCAGAGTCGAATCCACAGAGAATTAACCTATCAATTACTCTTGTTGGACTTACTAAATTCTTTATAATCAACTTCCCCAAACGTTGTAAACAATAGTTGATGGTATTTCTAATAACTAAGACTGAAAGTAAATAAACAGCTGTAAACTAAATATGCTTGGGTTGTAAACAATAATGAGAAGGTTCTAAGGTAGTGATTTCCCCTATTGATGGAATCCCTTCCGGTTATGTTTCATATAGATTCACCAAACCATCTCTAGCAATCATGGGCCTCTTTTTACCGAAAATCTCCCGAGTAATCTCGATAATTTACTAGACGCACTATCCCGAGATACGCTAGCTGACTTTGTTTATTACAGCTCACTTTAGATTGCACCCAAGGCTTCGTTATCCCTAGTCCCGCCTTTAAACCCGCAGTTATAGATCCCTCTTATACTTTGGGAGTGGTGTTGTCCAACAATTACCTAAATATGCACTCTCTCCCGAGTTATGCACACTAAATAGGCACAGCTAATTGAGGATCATGTCAATTAACTACAATAAACACGTAGTTGAACAAATAGAGATTAACTGGCAAATTATATTAACATAATCAAGAAGTTCATCCTTCAATAGGTTCCATCAAAACCTTAGACTAAAGTATTTAGCTACTCATAACAACGTAAAGATAAACTACGAAAAGATTCATCATGGAAAATTGAAAGAAAAAGAAGAGATAAAGAACTATGATGTTTTTGGGTGATCTCTCACACTTGTGTATCTTGCAAAAGTATTCTCCAAAACAAGTCTGCCCTAATGTGGCCGAATTTCGACATCTTATAAGGGTTTTACACCAAGTTTTCCCGACTTGACACTTTAGTCCCCGACTTTTCCGCGTTTTGCCGCGGTCCCACCGCGGTTACGCCAAGACCGCGGCCAGAATGGTCCTCTGAATCTTTGGTAATGTTCTGCCGCGGTTACGGTCTGACCGCGGCAGGTCAGGTTCAGCTCTGGTTTTGTCCCTTCGCTTGGTGCAATTTGTGGGTATTGTATGATTGGCCTCCTTTTCTCCGTAATTGATCCCAAAAGCGCTCCACCAACTTCTTTCATTGGATATAGCCTGCAAAGCATGAAAAGCACTAATCAGAGCATTTGATTATCACTTTTTACCATAAAGCTATACAAAAATGTAGTTCTTTAGGGTCTAATTATAGTCTAATTCACCAATTATCACAGGTATTTGTTCAACCATATCCTGAGTCATCATTTGGTTTCTCAATCTTTGATGTACAACCACTAATTATTTCCTCAGAATTGCCAACTGAAGAAATATTAGTTGGAAAATAAGAAAAAATGTCTTTAAGATTGGGAGAAGACAATTCCAAGAGGTAAGAGATAATCTTATAGCAATGATTTATGTACAGGTGAAACAAACTCTGAATCAGCTAAACATGGATATTAAAATGGTTAATCCACTAAACTCTAAAATTGTCCACTTAATTATTTGGGATAGTCAAAAGTTCAACAGGTAATTAGGAAAGGACACACAAGAGCTTTGAAAAAACTCGTGGTAATTTAGCATTACAACTAATTAAAATGCCTGTAAGTGAGATTAACATCACCTGCAGTACGGGAGGTCCCATCGAGGGGATGTAGAAAGTAAAAGGTGCAATTAACCTTTAACCTTTGACATAAAACTTTTTTAATACATTATAGGATTAAAAGGAAAAAGTAAAACTTACTTTACTTCCAACTAACTTGTTTTAATACAACTTAAACTAAACGACAAATATTTCACTTTCTTTTTTTCACCAAATCAAACCCAAATATAGGGAAACAACGAGTACCTTATATATAGATGGGTGTGGTCCAATTTATTGTTTATGTTTATCTGTCTTAAACTTAAAACTAGTAGGTTTGCAGTTTTTTGTGCATATAGTACACCCATCTCAGAAATAATGTGAAAAATCCAAACAATATTATATTATGCTCCAAGAAAAAGGTGTACATTGTGGCAAGAGTTCAAATCTTATTAGGGTGGATGAAGTAGTCTACCCGACAAGCAAGAACCAAAAATAATGTACATGTACACTGAATAAATGTTATCAAGTCGTGGGGCAACCTGGGTTGTGGTGAAGTGGTAAGTAATCCTTTATCTTTAATCAGAAGTTTCGTGTTCGAACCATGAGTATGAAATCGCTTTTGTCAGAGAACGTTTTACGGGTGGGAAAAAAAAAGAAGAAGAGAGATTATGCCTTGAGTCGACCCACATCAATGTGCAGCATGACTTGTTTTGACTTCACAGTCATAACCTCTTCAACTTTGGGGCCACGCGAAAACATTCACACTCAAAGTAGAGAGGAGTAGGGCCTCTCTATTTATCACATACATATATAATGACTTTCCTTTGCCAATTAGTGGAAGACAAAATGATTAGGCTTTGAAGCTGATCGAGTGAAATTGGCATGTGATGTGAGAGACCCTATCTTAAGTCAACAAAATTTCCCTAGTCCTGATATATATTACGATTGAATTTTGCAATGCTTTTCTCCTCTTCTTGCCCATGGATTTAACAGTAGATGAGATCTCACCCTTAATCGGATATTTTATGTTGGAGCCTTAGGAATGAAAAAATTATTGATAAAACACTTTTTCCTAAGTATTTTACATAGCGCGAACACGAATTATTTGTCCGAGCAATGGTATCAAATACCAGATGAATAAACAGGAAAAACACATTTTCTTGGTTTGAAGTTTTTAATCTTCAAATTTGTAGAGCAAGTCAAAATTACGAAAAAAAGTAAGAGAAGTTGTGTTGAGGTATTGAGAGATTTTCAACTCAGACACATTAGTCTCGCTAAATTCGTTCTTGAATGATTCATTAATGGAATAAGGCTATCAAGTTCTCCGTTTAATAATGATTTACTCTAAAATACACCTAACTTTTGGATGAATAGATAGGTAAAGAAGGTAATTAAGGCATGCATGTGACTTCAAATATATTCATAATCACCCATTTTGAACGTTGGGAGTGTGGTAAGAATGAGAAGAAAAAAGGATTTCAAAGGAGGCCCCATAAATATCATTGCATTTCATGTTATATCATAAATAAAGTTGCTTAAAAGTGAAGATATATTGGAGTGGAAAATCCCACCTCCATCGGTTTCCAAAGTATATATAAATAGACAAGCAAATGATTTACACCTTCTAAAGTATGTATAAATAAAAAGGGGTGGAAACTAAATTGAAAGGATATTGGGAATCACTCCATATTGACATGCTTAGCTAATGGAAAAGGAAAGGCATCACGATGTTCTTATTTTCCTATTTATAATCATTGCCTACGAGACATGTATCATCTTTGGGAGGTGATTTTAGTTGTCCTTTTGTCTTTCTCAAAATTTGCTCAAACAAGTGATTTTTTCTATTAAACAGGAGGATGGATAATTAAGTCTAATAGCATGCATAATAGTAGCATTTTCATAGATGTGGAAAGACATAATTGCTTTAACCACGAGACTCTATAATCAAGTGAAGCTTTTAGCAGCTATAGTTGGTGGAGAACAAAAAGTCTTCACTGGCAATCCATTCATTGTTTGCATTGCAGGTTTACAACTTCTTTTCCTAGACATACCTTTGTACCGTACTTCAATAAAACTAAACACTTCACTGATCTTGTAATAGCACCAGATTTCAGCTTTATGTACAAATCAATAGCAGTTAAAACTTTTAATTTCACCATACTGGACTTAAGTCAAAGGTTGGATAAAAAATACTACTTAAGGTACATTAGCTCTTAGCACAATCTCATAAGTATTATACCATCAGAATACCTCTATAGGGTTCGAGTGGTCAAACAAATACATAGGACAAAAAACTAATCCAGTATCACTCTTGCCATCTAGCCTCTTTAGCAAATCTTACCCTTCCCATCCCTCCTTGTTTCTCCATTGTTTCGTAATGCTTCTCATTACTTTGATTTAAGAAATCAAAATAACACATAATGCCTTAATGGCATCCATCTAATATCTGCAATTTGAAGCAAGGTTGCATGAATTCCAATAAGAAGTCCAATCTATCGAGCAAAACTTCAAAAGAATAATCATGATGTTTACAAAATTTAACTTTGTTCACTTTTTTCTATCGTTTGCATACTTGCCTAAGCGCTAGTCTACTTAATCATCATAAGCTTCATTTCCCACTTTGGCCACTTTATCTGCCCAAGCTTTCAAAGCATATAATCATAAACTCTGCCATTGCAGGTCACTCGTTGAGTTGTTCCTTTCTTTTTTTGGTTCTCCACGACTTG